CATAAGTTTCAAACCACTCTAGATATTTCATTGAAATTTTGTACACTGCTTTCAAGCAGTAAAAGACATATTTTGAAATGAAAATATATTTTTTTAAAATTACCAGTGGCGTCCTACCAGATTTGTAAGAAATATTTTCTAAGAAAAAAATGGTGCGTCACTGCTTTTTTCTAAAATAAAAATCATTTTTGAAATCCTCATTCAATTTGGAACAAATTTGATCTCTCCACTTTTTTCCGAAAGATGCACCGTTTTAAAGTAAAAAAATAAAAAACCATTTTGATTCATGGCGAAATCACCAAAATTATAATAAAAATGTTAAACATTTAAACACCTAAAGTTTCAAATTAGTTTTGTGACGTCACTGTTATTTTTTTTTTAAATATTTCACATCAGAAAATGTCTTTTGCTGCTTGAAAGCAGTGTGCAAAATTTCAAAGTGGTATGAATTATGATAAAAAAATAGTTTTTTTCTTAGAATTTCAACACCCTGTATCTCGGAAAGGAAGCGTTTCCGGACATATGTTTATGTAGGTAGCTAGGGCGTATTTTCAACGTAGAATATGTCATAAAGATTTGGTGCATTAATTTCGGAACACCCTGTATATACATAACAAAGGCTGAATCTAAGTATAAAAGTCAATGCTACCATAGTTAAACACAGATAAAAGCAGAGATTCACATAACTTTTTTCTAATTTTGGAATTTGAAATAAACCGATTTGCATAAAGTACTTTCATTCTAATGAAACTTTTTTGTAGCGGCTTTTTTATGTGTTCCCTAAATCCAAGATTTATATCTATATGGAGACCCAAGTTCCTTGTACAAGCTGAAAATTGCAATTCCTCATTCGCCAGCTTCAACAATAATGAACCCTGCAAAAATTCTCTGCGATGTTTCTGACAGAATAATAAAGTTTCAGTTTTACTAGCATTTATTCTTAGGTTATGATCACTAGAATATTGTAAGATGGACTGTAGATCTTCGTTAATAAGATCAGATACTGAGTTTGGATCGGAGGCATCTCATTAGTGCAGAAGCTGGGTGTGCTCTGCGAATGATTGCATATAAGAATGTGAAACAGCATCAAATATGTCAAATATATAGATTAAAATTAATAAAAATAGCAACGGCCCTATGATAGACCCCTGTGGTACACCCGACACAATATGCCCAGCAGAAGAGACCCTCCCATTGATACCACCTGACGTCTGCCATTCAGGTAATTCTTGAAGAAAGCACAGGATAACTCATCAAAACCCAGATAGTGCAGCTTGGCACACAAGAGATCGTGGTCCAGCACATCAAAAGCCTTTGAGTAATCCAAAGAAATAGATACCACGGCAATGTTTGCAACCCCGACTGTTGTTCTGGATACAAGTTATTTACAGTCATATACACATTTACCTGTGAGTGAATTGCCCTCTCTAAAACATTAGACACAACTGTCAAAAGACTAATGGGTCTCAACTCGGCGACATTAGAGGGATTGCGTATCTTGGGTACAGGACACACCACAGATTCTTTCCAACTTGAAGGAAAATATCCCCTCTCCAGGCAGCATTTATTTATATGGGTAAGATGGTATATTATTGCTAGGAGACCAAGCTTGAGCATATATAAAGTTAGATTATCAGCTTCGGCAGCATTTGACTTCATTCTGTAAACATAATTATAAATTGTTACAGGGGATTCCATAGTAAAACTAAAATTAATTTCAGGCTTGTATAGATGATTCTTGTAGAAAGATGTTTTGTTATTACAATTATCGGTTTTACAGAACATGCTTAAAAATATTTATTAACAACATCTGGATGTTGTAAACAGACAGGAAGGTCATTGGTATTGTTAGCTCCATAGCGCACAGCCATTTGCCTTAAATCTTTCCAGAGGGATCGTGGGTCCATTTGGCTTTCCAGAAAATGCAAATATCCAGCTTTCCCACTACGAACTGACACAAAAATTAAATTTCGTGAAGATTTATACCTCTCCCAATTTTTAGGTTTTTATAGTTTAAAAAAGCATTGTCTCTTTCCCTCATCAAAGATTTCAGAGCTGGAGTTAACCAAGGCGCTGTGGGTTTACTTACTCTGACTGTCAAGATAGGAGCATGAAGGTTAAATAATAACATCAAATTATCTATAAGAAAACTTACCTTCTCATCAACATCATTTATATAACAAATATCATCCGATGGTACATTAAACAAATCATTATAAAATGCATCCTCACTGAAGTTCTTGAAATTTCTAAATGTAACAAACTTTTGCACATTTTTAGTAACGGGCAACCTTATATTACAGTATGTTAATCGATGTTCACCATCAGCGCCAAGCGTGCCAGCAGTAGTTACTATATATGAATCACTAATAAAGATTGGATCGAGCAACGAGGAACAATTCTGGGTGACTCTAGTGGGTTCATCAATGACCTGACTAAAACCAAACATATCAAAAAAATCTTTTAAAGGGTTGGTTCCAGTGTCACACAAAAAATCTACGTTTAGATCTCCAAGGATTGTAATGTAATTACAAGATGGTATGATATTGGGCAAGAATGCATCCAAGGCCTGGACACAATTTAGGATATTGTTCTTAGTGCGGTATATTACACCAATAATAAGAGAGGTCTTGCAAGAGACCCTAACATTAAACTAAATATTTTCAAAACCTTCTATTTGATCCTGTAAATAATGTCTATTGCATTGAAACTTAGTCTTAATATAAATCCCCACACCCCTCCCCTACCCTCTGGACGGTCACAGCAATAAAATGAGTACCCCGGAATTTTAAAAGCATCAGACACTGTATCCGCCCTTAGCCATGTGTCAGTAATTGCTTATAATTTTATTTTTGCGGCTGTACTGGTGTACAGGGTGTCCACATTTATAGGCTCAAATTTCAATAATAACTATTAGAGATTTTTTTAGAAAAAATCTGATAGCAAATTCTTGTCAACAATGGTTCAAAACTCAAATGTACTAATTTTTGTTTCAATACGATACAGGGTGATCACAACAAATTTTCAAAATTTAATGAATCAAAAAACAAAAATAAAAAATTAATCGGTTAAAAAATAAAAATTTAAGAAGGGTGTTCAGTCCTTAAGCGGGACACACAGTAGAAAACCAACTTAGAAAGGTCACTACCTATCTCAACTTCAATTTAAACCACTAACAAGCCACTGAACACCGAGCTATCGTATCATTATAAGACACACAAACGGTACCAAGACCTCCAGAGGTGGAAAACCTTGTCATCAGAAGGATTTTGTGCTTTATCAAAGCCATGAACCTACAGATCGAAAATTAGACTAGAATATCCCCGATAGATATCTCTAGATCACAGTGATTAGAGGCTTTCGGTCCTAAAAAACAGGAGATCGTGGACATTCAAAAATTCCTTATCGCCAATGTGTCTGAAAACCCGTTAATCAGAATTGAGGAAAGGAGAGAAGACAAACAAAGAGACACATGAACAATGGGGAATAGCTCTCAAATTCCGTAAGACAAATTGCCAATAGAGAAGGTACGTCTAATTGGGAGAAAATACAATGTGAGAACAGTATTTATCTCAGTAACAATTTTGAGAAAAAAAAAACTGGCAAAGACTAGAGTCGATAATCTAAAAGACAGGAGAAACTGTAAAGCATCCTGTGTCGGATATACGTTTTATCCGAACTGTACCTGACGTCAATCTAGATCCAGCTATGCCATAAAAACAAAAAGAAAACAAGAAAAGTCACCAAGGAGTTGTTGAAAACTTGTCATTATTATTATTAATTATTTAGTATCATCGCATTTTGTTGCTCGAATTTTCAAATTGTAATACTAGCACTAGCAAATTGTAACACCCTGTGAATATAAAGAAGCAAACATCGGTGGAACAAAACGATCAATAAAAATTAGAAAAAAAAGAACACAAGAACATCACAAAAATAGGATAAACAATCAGACAAATCGGGAATCGCAAAACAGCAAACCTACAATGGACAAATATTAAGATAAAAAGTGGAAGACAACATTGGCTCAAAATAAAATTCAGAAAAGTTGCATATAGGTAGGTATTTCACAAAACGAAAACAACTTGAGCATTCAGTTAAGTATCAGTGTTGATATAGGACAAATAGGCAAACCAATCTCAAATATTCTGAAGCACTTTAAGCCGCTGATATTTAGTTCAACAAGAGGGGGTGCATAATTTAATTCCAGGAAAGCCGCCGGCAGCCATGGTTTTCGTAGAATTAATTCACCTCCCTTTTATTTTAATATGTAGGGTCGCTGTCATAAGAAAATTCTCATTTGTTTGAAACCGATCGAAGAAAAACGTTTCGTAACAAGTTGAAACCCTGGCAATGGAAGTATAAAACACTTTTTTTGCCAATAAAAACATTAGCTACCACCTTTAAACAAAAACAAAAAAACTACTTTCAGCTAAATTGGCTTAACTGAAACTTGGCTTGTTCTTCTAAATTGTTTCAAGGGTGTAATTATTTTAATTTTCTTCATCGTAATTCTTAGTGCTACGACGAATTAAACCTTTATTGCTGGATTTACAACTTCGTGTCCAGAATAAACAACCGACTTAATCACCCTGGATTTCTATCTCGTTTGAATCATTTAGAAACGGGGCTCTAAAAGACATTACTTTTAATTTTACCCTGCTGATGTCTGGCTAGGATAAAGCCAATTGGGAACTGCGAATTTTTAGTCTATAAAATAAATAAAATCTGCTTCGATCTACTAATTCAATCTGATAATGCTATATTTGAATAAATAAAATACATAGATCACAGTTGCAAATACAAAACAATAAAGTACTAATAATACTGCAGATCTAAGTTAGAATAACAAAAATTAGGAAGTAGAGCCTTGTACAAAAGCCCATAAATTAAACTATAGTTCCTATCGTTTTAAATTCCAACGTTTTTTAATGGATTTAGGCCATTAAAAAACAGTCTTAAATAGAATAAATATTATCTATAATTCTAATGAAAACTATCTAAGCTTCCAATTGCTCGGTTTGTACTAACGAACTGGACGGTGTAATTAATCCTAGTTTACTCTGAGTAATAAGCTGCCCGGTTTTATCACAGATCGATATCTTCCTCTGCTTTATAATAGGAACTACTCCTGCCTTGAAGTTCTGCAAGAGAGAATATTCAAAAAAAAATACTAATGATTGCAGCTTCATTAGTATTTTTTTTATTACCTGAACAATAGAATTGGGCTGAGTGAACACGTAATAAACCGCATAGAGTGGGACCCATAACATCGACGAAAAACTAATTCCTAAACCCACAATATTTGCCCAAAGAGGATATTTGTATTCTCCGTAGCGCAGCGTTTCATATTCCATACATTGTTCAACGAATATAACCTGTAATAGAGATAATCTGGGTTGAAAATGGATAGAAGTTTAATGAAAAAAATTCCTTACAGCAATTACAACAGGTGCACAATATTTCCAACAGATTCTCCAGAATAAATTTGGCCTTACTCCCATCATATGCTCGATACAGTCGGATAATTTGTCAACTCCGAAAACCCATGAAATTGCTACGGTCTGGAAAAAGCACACCCATAAGAGTGACATTCCACTGGCTGAATAATAGTCCATTAACTGGAAGACATACATTCCGCCCTGAAAAATAAATAATTTATGTTTGGGAATCTTTGTGTAGATACATTCAGGGCCGGTTTATTCACCTTCTGATAAACTTTCAGGTATGCAATCTGATGGATAAAAACCCAATCTGTAATCCCATTGGTCGGCCAGTGATCCTCTTACCAATAGAATTATAGAACGGTAAATTTATCTTGCAGATAGTTCTCAGCAAGTTTATCTGAAGATGAAAAAATCGGACCTTAATGATATAAATCTGTTTATTTTGGGATCTAAAATCAAAGTTAAATAGTATCTCTGAACTTTCTCGCAACTGATTACCATATCGTTCAAACGCATATTGATCGAATACTCACATGGGTAACCATAGGGATTCCCAGCAGAAACATTACAAAGCAAACTACAAACGTGAATATTTGTCGATGCGGTCTCAATAATGTCGACCAATTATCCAACAGACCGGTAATAAATGATTCAACCAAGCAAAATGCGCTGTCAATACCCAGGAGCTGCAAGAAATAATTGCATTATCATCGTTAATCAATTTCCCATTTCCGTTTAATTATGAAAAGTTTATTTTTACCAGTAGCATAAAGAAAAATGTAGCCGCCCAAAACGGTGCTCCAGGTAATTTCAGGACAACTTCAGGATAAGTGAGGAATACTAATCCCGGTCCGCTTTTCACCACATCGCCAACATCTGCATTTTGTTCACGTGCGAGATGGCCCAGAATTGAAAAAGTCACTATTCCCGCGAGAACAGAGGTGAGAGTATTGACTATACAGGTTATAATTGCGTCCCTGCGAAAAAAAAGATAAGGAGTTTTCAACTCTTTCTACATGGTACCATTTCTGCCAACATCATCCCAAAATTTCGCGGTTCAAAGTCAGAATATCGTTATATAAGTTTTGATTAAATTTGTTATTAACTCTGAGAGAACCTCGGCGTTTCCTGCCCCTTTAAATATAACATAATAAAGAGGGAATTTTCCTTCGGATTTTGGCGCTTAATAGTATGCCCCAGGGGTAATTTCGCTATAGACTGAAATGTCAGTTGCAACCTCGAGGGTTTCGTCAGATATAACAACACTTTCGAATTTAAAGTAACATGGAAGTAACTTTAATGGTTTTTGTTTTCGAGACATAAAACAAGTCGCAATAAAAAAAGTGGCACATCTGTTCTAATTTAGAACGCCTCTGAACCCTAACAAGAAGACAGATTTGTTCTGTTATTCCACAAATTTAGAAAATTGAAATGGATAATTCACTTCTATTTAGATAGACTTACAAGTTTTAAATTAAATTTCTACCGTAGAACATGAAATAATTATTATTTCTCTAAGAAAACAAGTATACAGATTATTAGGTATTTGTGATGCAACTTGAAATGTAAGTATTTCAAATAATATCTGTCGATAATTAATTTATTGAATAGTTTAAAGCCAAGATAATAAATCTTTCAAACTATGCCTACAAAAAATTTAGCCTCTATTAGTTTATTCTTAAACATTTTTATTAGATGAAATGGTTCAAGTTGTTGGGATAAGTAAAGTTAGCTGCAAATTATCATATCTCAGGGAACCTTTTTACATTGAAGCGAATAACAAATTATTCAACGAAAACGTCTTATGCAAGTTTGGAAAAAACACTCGGAAAAAAGACCCAAATGCTGAAAAATATTTCAATAGCCTTATTTTATGGTAGATTTTAACACGTAAATTTCAAAGCGAAAATCAAGCTGTATAATACTGTTTTGTTCTCTAGTATAGTATTTTTAATTTGAATTGAAACACTAAAAAAACATCTAAGCCGTTTTCTCGCGTCCACTTTTTTGACATTGGTTCAAAACCAGTTTGAAACAGTCAACGGAAACACCAACTAGGTACTAAAATTCCGCCATCTAGTACCTAATAAATTTATTTTCAAATTGTGGTAGGTTTCCCTAACTATCCTCATTGATATTTTTATTTTTTGTGTGTGTTGAGTGTTGTCTTCTGATTGGTCGAGGGTTACTACGCAGTTAAGTATTTAAAAAAAAAAAACGAGTGGTTTTCTTCAAGGGATTTGGTTCTAAAGAGGCCTCTTCTTTGGCAGATAGCTGAACAGGCAAGTCGATTTTCACTTTGTATTTTTTTTTCAGATTTCTAGATTTTCCCTTTATATTTTCCAATTTATATCACCATCAGTGTCTACTATCACTGTTGAGTTTTTATTACCTGATGAATCTTATTTTATCTATCTTTACAATATAAATATTATATTCTAATTTTTTATCTATTGTGAGCCTCCATTTTGTTTGGTGCCACGTTTTTCTGAGGAGAGTCAATTCAGAGTTTCTAACTTCTGATTCTGAAATGATTATTTTTAACTTGATGACCTAATTAATTAGCGATTTTGTGTTTCTAACATAACCTTAAATTTAAATTATTATAATTTGTAGACAATTAGAATGATTCTAGTGTGTTTTTATCTATTCCCATTTAATCAACGCGGTTTTTCATTAATGAAGTGAACACGGTATCTTTTGTGTGTGTTGAGTGTTGTCTTCTGATTGGTCGATGGTTACTACGCAGTTAAGTATAAAAAAGACACGAGACTGGTTTTCTTCAAGGGATTTGGTTCTAAGAGGGCCTCTTCTGTGGCAGATAACTGAACAGGCAAGTCGATTTTCACTTTGTAATTTTTTTCTTCAGATTTCTACATTTTCCCTCAAGATTTTTCAATTTATTTCACCATCAGTATCTACTATCACTGTTGGGTTTTTATTATCTGATGAATCTTATCTTATCTGCCTTCACAATATAAATATTATATTTTAATTTTTTATATATTGTGAGCCTCCATTTTTCTGAGGAGAGTCAATTCAGAGTTTTAGCAAATATATAGGTATTGCTGCTTTGGTTTTCGGAATCAAGTGTTAGTGTGGGATTATTGGACCATTTGCTCTAAATAGAGTCGGTATAAACCAAATTTGTGTGTCCATCCCTATCAATACTGCCGAATCCAGGCAGAGGTCTGTGAAGCCATTTATTGTTTGACTCCCTCATTATCTTCTCGAGGAAGGAGAGTGCTGAAAGGGTGAAGTTTTAAGAGAGGAATCCAGATAGGTTGAAAATTCATCTCAAAAATTTTGACAATTCCTGATGGATTTAATTTATTTCACCCTCAGCTTTATCTTGTAGTACCAATAATAGGTACCTTACCTTAAAAAGAAAATTTATCTATTTGGGGAAAATCCAGATTTTTTTTTTCTATCTTGTTCAATTTTTCCTACATGCTCTTTTTTAATTTTTGCCTGTTCAGTGCCACTGCATGAGAAGCAGCATTCTGCTCAATGCTAACGAGCATCTAGCATTGGAAAGGAGTGTCTGCACAAAAATGGTTTTATAATAAACTAATTTCATATCAATTTTTTTTCCTGTGCAAGATAATTACTTTTTAACAGGATTCAGAAATTTAATATTCCAAACCTTGGTGAACCTGATACTGTTTTATTCTTTTCTGGGTACCTATTCCACCTAAAAGATTAGTATTTGGAGACTGGATCAGCTAGAATGACGTCACACCAGCAATCTATCCTCTTTCCTGGATATAGGAAACAACCCGAAAAGCTTCAGTTCACGGAAGTGAAACCCCAACATCCATTGAAGAGCTCCGGATTGGAAAAGGTAGGTACATAATGTATCACATTCACCAGGAAGACTAAATGTCGAGCTAAATGTTCATAAATAACTTCAAAATTTTTAAAATAAACCCAATACATTGTTAATATTTACAAGTCCAAAATAAAATTATCGTTGTTGGAATTTGAGTGGTTTCATTTGCACATAAAGGGGCTACACGTTTTTATTATTTATTTTTGAATTCCACGACTATAGGTTCTCTTGCTCTAAATTACAAGTAAGTAAATTATTTGTTACAACCTATATGGTATAAAATATATTTAAACAATAAATTGAAAAGTTGAAGATGATGGGAATTGGGGTTTTCTGATTTCACATTCTCGGGCCAATTTCTTATGACAAATCAAATGCCGCATGCGCTTTGAAGATAAAGGGTGAAACTGGAAATTTAAACTTTTTGAGGGTAGTATTCATCTCGAAAAGATATCAAAAATGTGAAAATTTTACCTGACGTAGGTAGTTTTCTACTTTGACTTCAGTGGGACAGTGGCGTAGTGTACCGAGATATGACAAAAAATGTATCTTTTTCAAATGGGACACCTTGTACATTTTCAGATTGTGCATAAAATTACCTTTCCATAATGTATAATTTGTCTATATTATTTCGTAATTTGCCTATAATATTATGATATTTGAAATTTTCCCTAAGCACCTTGTAAAGTAATTTATTTGTCACTCATTTGTAAAACGTCATTCATCAAGTCAAAACATAAACAACGAAAATTGATTTTTACCAGTTACTGGCTCTACTGACTCGTAAAATTGACAGCTAAACTGTAAAAACTCTTTACAAGTCAGTAGGGTCAATAGAATTATTTATTAAAATTGTATTACCTATGTATTAATTTTTTATTTATTGTTTACAAATGAGTAACAAATAAATTATTGTACATCATACGCCAGGTATCAGTTTTTACTGGCTCTTGAAGGTGACAAGCTCGCCTGACGGCTCGCTAGTCATTTCCTTCAATCACCAGTAAAAACTGTTTTACCTGGCTAATAATGTAAAATACTATTAATTATGTGGTTCAATTTTCTGGTCCAATGTGTATACATATATAGTTTAAAAAACGTAAATCAAAGATGGCTATGATTTTAAACCTATGTCATGTCAAAAATCCTGACCAATAAAGAAACAATAATGCGACGTACTTTTTCGTAATCGAAGTCCTCTTCGATTAAGCTTTTTTTTTGAAGAGCCGTTAGTTTTTACCCATTTCAACAATATAGGTATTACACTTTATAGGTATACCTGCTTCAACGTCAAAAATGACACCTGACAATGTCAAAAATTCATTCCAAGGTGTCATTAAACACAAATTTCGTGCATGCAATGCAAACAACGTTTTTTTTTTTTTTTTCTACGGGTTCCATTCTGTCTGTATGGGTATTAATCTGTTGTTCTTGGGTATATTTGGACCAATGAAACCAAACGGTTTTGTTTTTTAAGCTACGTTTCGAAAAGTTTATTTTCTTCTTCAGGCTGTAACCAATCGAAACAGGACAAATTTAGCAATAATAAATAAATAATTTTCAGATAATTGAAATATTTTGAAGAATTAAATTATCTCAAAACGACAAAGATGATAAAAGAACATAAAAAATATAAAAGCATTTTACAAGTTATGAGACATTCGAGACGACAAAGTTAAAAAAAAAAACCTTCTATATTCTATATTCTCTGGGTGAAAGGTTAAGTTCCAAATATACGACCAAAACATATACAGTTCCTACGTAAAATGGAGCTATTACGCCAGACGCAAAAAAAGTATACCTTAATCACTGCCTCAACAAGAAAATCAGGAAACTGAAATTTCCAATTCACTCAATTCATTCCAAAATAAAATTGAAAGTAGGTAACTACATAAACTTAAGAGAAAATATCTCAATTGGAGGATTTGTTGAAAAAAAAAATGAAACTAAAGAGAAGACAAATCTGGCTAAACAGTGAATGATACCATCTAGGATGGCCTTTATTACATAAAGATAAAATTTACCCCTACGCTGCTGCTGGTGCAATGTAAAAGACTGTAAAATTAAACTGAAAGAAACAAAAAAAAAAAAAAAAAAACAGCAAATTATGCCCTTCACTGAGATGGATTTTATTACATAAAACATCGCATAAAACCCACCCTTCGCAACTCAAAGCTGGATGCAATGTGAAGGATTTGTTCTTAAATCGAATAAAAAAAAGTAAAGAGGCATTTAGACTCTGACTCAACAACAAATTATATAATTTACTGGGATGGATTCTATCACATAAATATTGATTGTGAATTGGAGAAGACTAAATTAATAGTAAACGTAGATAAAGACAAAACCTTGAACTAAATTCAACTAAACCAGAAAGTATACCAAGCCTTCAATTTCACCTCAATTATGAGAAAATCTCACATCAGACAATATTGAATATTTAACGAAAAAACCCAAAAATCACTCAAATTAGAATCTTTATTATAAAGTAGCTATCAAATTGGCATTCTGCGTTAAAAATTGAAATATTAAATAATTTAAGAATTGCTAGTCTTATGACATCGCGAGGTTCCTGAACCTAAAGACGAATTTATAAATTAGGCAACGGAAAGATAATAAACACAAAGCCAAAGTAATTAAACTATGAGGTACAAGTGATTCATATTAAAAAAAAAAAAAAGAAAACATCATTTATTGCCGACACGAGTTCGGCATCCTTTGAAATACATGGGTGCTCACATCTTTACGATATCCGTTGACCCCGATACTCAATGAAATTAAAATATCTTCGGTCGAACAAATAAATATAATTTCTTAGAAATAACGGGAGATGATTTTAGATTAACGTATCGAAATATAACCAATATATCCAAACAATCAGGTAGGGAGATCAAAAATCAGTCGGCAGTCATCAGTCAAGAATAAAATGGTCATCACATAAAATTCGCGAAGAGTTTATTTTGTTTTAAAGTGAGTCACTACATGAATTTCAATTTCTAAAGAGTCGGTGTCAATTTTGTTTTCATGTATCCCTTTGATGTTTGCACTGCTCCTTAGATTTTTTCCATACTAAATGTGCTTTTTGAAAATTGGTATGTTATATGAGTGCAATGCTTCCAAAGGCTTATAATTTAATTTCTTCTCATAAAATTCAACAAAAATTTAATCGGTAGGTACTTTTTTCTCTAAAAATTTTCAAAAATGCATAAAACTCTATATAATCCTGTCTTTCGTAAGCTTTTCTTCAAAGAAACTATCCCAGATAGGATTATACTAACCTGTAAGAGTTGTGATGAAATTTATTATAGGATCCCAATGCAGGTAAAGCTCCACAGCCAATACTGTATGCAAAAAATATTTGTGATGCTCCATCTACCCATGGTCCAGGTGTTAACAATACCTCCCATCGTGATGGAACTACGTAGTAATATAATCCATCAATAGCACCTTCAAGAGTGACTGCCCGTACTAACATTATCAGAAGTATCACGTAAGGAAATAGAGCAGAGAACCAGATTATCTAAATATAAAATTAAACATTAAGTTTTAAAATTATATAGAAGATTTTCGTCAAGTTCAACGAAAATTTAAATTTACATTATTGGGATTTATCTTTGTTAAGTTTACTTTACAAATTTTACCTTTTCGTATAGATATAATCTTGAAATAAAAGATGTACCTTGCCACTTTGATGCAATCCTTTTCTTATAATAGTATATACACATAACCAGCCTAGTATCAAACATACAAACAAATTCCATTGCAAGCCACCAACGTCTTCCAGACTGTTTGAGATTCCCAAAACCTTCAGACTAAAATTATAAATAAAACAGTTATTAGAAATTAAGTAAATTCGCTGATTCAACAATATAATTAACATTAGTTTGTGTCAAAAATTTGAATTTCTTGAGCTGCCTAATAATTTGAGCACGAGCGCGAATAAAGCAAGTCGAGATCATGCAAGGCAGTTAGTGTCGACGTTGTTTTCGAAGTGTGAAGAACTAATTAAATCGGACCAACAGATACTGAATTGATTGAAAACGCAAAATAACGAAAATTGTTTTTTTTTTTATATCCCCCGCAAACCCAGGGAAAGCAGCCTTGCTCCTTGCTCTCCAAGCTGATAAAAACCTTTTATATAATTCATATTTTTTGCAACTACATTCGAGACCCTTTTTACCTTTTACACATTTTTCTTTTTCATCACTAGGGTGTTAATAATTTATTAATGAACCATGATAATAAGAGGCGACGACAATGTTTTGTATAGCGTATATTTGGCTCTATACTCTATTATATGAGCCTTACCAAACGGACACTAAAAGGCGCCACATGGTCCGTTGGGTTTCACCGTAGGTTCGTATAAGGGTCTTAATAATTCGCGAGAGCATAAAAAATAATAATAGCTTGACTTATGCTGATTGATGATGCAGCATGTTTTTTTTTTTAAATTCAGCCTTCCAGTTGTCAATATCCTATAAGATGAGATGGGCAATGTTGCATTTTCAAGATTTGTTTAAAGCTTAACATCTTTACATGAATCGTTCGTTATTCCATGGTGGACGTGTGAGTATAGGCATTTGAATTTCCAAATATTCTTAGTCTAAGGTGCCCCCATATCTTTTCAAGGGAGTCAGTGTCAACTCTGTGATTACGAGCAACGGAGCAATAATCTCCTCATCGTTAAATAAAGACTGTCAAGTTCAAATTGTTCTCAGATATCCTCACAGTGCAAAAAATCTGGAGCCGTCAAATCGGGGAAATTAGTCGGCCCTGTGAAGACATCAACTTCTGATATCAAGCAACAAGCGGAATAGTTTGGATTTGCCCAGACTAGCGTAAATTAGATTAGATTATGTAAGGGTATGTTTTCTTTTGTCTAGTAGGTTTTCAGGTTAAGACTCTTCGCGAATCTTATAATTTTCCTGGGATTGGTTGTTTTAAAATCCGTAACAATCATATATGTCTGCTCCAGATGAATAAGACTTCTGTGACATAACGCTTCGCATTTGCAGAGCATATGTTCGGCAGATTCGGATGCATCTTTGCAGAAACGGCAAAAGTGATTCAACTTCACCCATCTTTTTTAGGTGGTAGCCAAGGGGACAGTGACCAGTAAGGAGGCCCCGTTATAAGTCTCAAGTCTGGTTTGGTGAGTTCAAGTAGTTCCTTTCCCTTCGTTGCCTAGGTCCTAGAATCATGTTTCAATGAGAGGCGTGTTGTGCCTCTTCTCATTCCAGACCTTACATGGCTTTTTATCAAGCCAAATACGGTTTCTGGACCATGGACTGGTGACGCGGCGCCCTCTCTTGCGAGCCAATCAGACATTTCATTTCCTCCTACATTTTGATGCCCTGGTATCCATGATAGAGTCACTCAAAGATTCTTGCACTTTGTAGGTCCACACTTTCTGGCACAGTTTTATTGCATACGTTTCTGCTTGGAATATGGTGGGATTTTTTCCCAAGGGTACCGATAGCCTACAGTTTGGGCCATATGCGTATACTCCGACCTCTTCTTCTGTTTCCGATCCATCTTTGTACCAAATTGATGAACCGTTTGGAAATGTATGTAAGATTTTGTCACTTTTGCGGCCTTCTGCAGTCACAATAAGACGGTGATCAAATTCGTATCTGGATGGCAAGGTGTCAACCGTGTTTGTTGGTTCACATTAACATTCTTTAATGATGCTCATATATCGAACAAGGTCCCCTTCCTCTAGGTTTAGAGACAATGTTACAAGGTCCCCATGCAGGCCTTCCTCCTCACTGCAATATGCAACATGATAACATGACCTCTATGGCAGCGCTTGGACAGGTGTGGCACCTGTGATTCCAAGACATTTATACCTTTTTGTCAATCGGTTTTGCCCTGTCTGCTATTTCAGTTTCGGCCACCACACCAATGCAGCATATGTGACCAGGGTTCTTATAACCATGGTAAATAGCCAACAGATCATTTTTGGTTTCAGTGCTCATGTTTTACTGAATAGTCTCCGGCATAGCCAGTACTGACTGTTGCTCGATAGATTATTCTTTTCAAATGTAAGTTCCAGGTGATTTTCTAATCTAGGACAACGCCTAGATATTCGACTTCACTTGAAAAGAATATTTGTATTCCATCCAGTGTTGGAGCTATTAAGTTGTGCTTTTTTTTTTCGTGTGAATGTTACAATTATTGTCTTGCCAGGATTCTCGTTCAGACTCTCTTGCATGCACCATTTTTTGAAGATATTGAGGGCATTCTGCGTGAGTTCACTAATGATCCTAACATGTTTGCCTCTGATGATGACTGCAAGGGCATCAGCATATCTTAAGACTACAAATCCATGATTGCTTAGTATAATTAGAAAATCATCTATTGCTATGGACCATAGCTTATTAGATAGTACAACCCCTTAGGAGCACCCCTCGACTGCTAAGACTGCCGCTGAGTCGCTTTGATTTTCCTATCATATAGCATGCGATTGTAGTGTCCTCAAAGCCTCTGTTTTTTGCCGCCTTTCTTATAAATTTTCTGTGAAACTGCCATCAGGTTTTTCTAGCAGTCCAATGTCGTTCGAGTGATCTTTTGCTTTCTGTAGTTGCATTGTCTGAGGGATGTCAGTAATCTCCTTGCAGACATATCTCCAGGATTTCCTTTTAGATGTTCTCAATTCCTTGTTGTATTCTGTTAGGGAGTTTCTGTAATCGTCTCAGTTGTTGATGCGTTTTGCCCTATTTAATAAACTTCTTGCGCCCTGTTCCACCAGGACGTTTTCCTATCTACGACCTTTCGAAATTGTTTACAAATAGCGACCAAAATAGTTCCAACTGCTTCCCTTCACTTGTAGACTACGTGATGCTTGTAATGGTGAAAATAGAAATAAAGATGGATAATTATCGCAAAGTTCTGTTGGCAATGTGCAAAGCCAGTAATTGATGCAGTTCAATTCGGAATTATCATTACAGCTGACTTAGCCGTTCGATAGCATCAGATTTTCTGATACGTTCACTTAAATGAACCCCGCACACTTCTTATGGGATTTCTGACCGCAGTCAAATTTAACCAAATTTTAGTATGTTATAGATCTGACCTTTCTGATCAATAACTATCATGGGCACAACTTAATTTTATGACTGGTTTTTGAGATACAGGGTGTTCAATGTGTGAATGTCCCATATGCATTATGGCACCCTATTCAGTCAGTCAAATCATATTCGTGTGAGAATTTGGTCAAGGCACAGAAATAATTGAAGCAATAATATGAGCAATAAAATGGGCCTATATTATTTGGTCACTATTGCCAGTGCAACAACCCTAGGTTCATGTGCATATGTCGCAACTGTCATTTGGTTTTTGGGATATGCAAGGCATGATTACCCAATAGCACCAGTTCTAGACTTTGTGCAAGATGCTAAAAACAGACTTGGATAGTTTTTTTTTTTCGGTTTTTTTAGATATTTTAATTTTTGTACGCAACCGTAAATAGACAGTATAATCTATTCTTATTTTTAGTTATAATATCTCCTGCATTTCTAACGGTTGTTTGGTACAGCCTCTAGAGGCGGTTACACACGGGCGTGTATAGCTTGATACATATACGTGCATACATCAACGTGCAAGCAACGACGTGCATGTCGCTTTTGTACAGACGCTCGCATAAAACTATCAAAACTGTTAGTCTTGCTACAGTTATCCAAGTGTGCATACAAAATTTCTAGCGATTCCAGAATTCACCTGACCGCTTGCACATTCAAAAACGCGACGGTATTTTGCATAAACATTGATGTTTTTGTTTGCGCGTTCATGTATGTGCGTTTATGTTTTCAGACATTCACGCCCGTGTGTAACCGCCTATGGCGACATGCACGTTGTTGGGTGCACGCTGATGTATGCACGTATATGTATCAAGCCATCCACGTCCGTGTGTAACCGCCTTAAGAGCTTCTAATAGGCGGTTACACGGACGTGGATGGCTTGATACATATACGTGCATACATCAACGTGCAAACAACAACGTGCATGTCACCTTTGTACAGACGCTCGCACAAAACTGTCAGTCTTGCTACTCTTGCTACAGTATTCTGAGTGTGCATACAAAATTTCTAGCGATTCCAGAATTCACTTGAGTGTCATTCTACAGTTTGCACATTCAAAAACGTGACGGTATTTTGCATACACATTGATGTTTTTGTTTGCGCGTTCATGAGGTGCGTACATGTTTTCAGACATCCACGTCCGTGTATAACCGCCTTAAGGCGGTTACACACGGACGTGGATGGCTTAATACATATACGTGCATACATCAACGTGCATGTCACTTTTGTACAAACGCTCGCACAAAACTGTCAGTCTTGCTACTCTTGCTACAGTATTCTGAGTGTGCATACAAAATTTCTAGCGATTCCAGAATTCACTTGAGTGTCATTCTACAGTTTGCACATTCAAAAACGTGACGGTATTTTGCATACACATTGATGTTTTTGTTTGCGCGTTCATGTATGTGCGTACATGTTTTCAGACATCCACGTCCGTGTATAACCGCCTTAAGGCGGTTACACACGGACGTGGATGGCTTAATACATATACGTGCATACATCAACGTGCATGTCACTTTTGTACAAACGCTCGCACAAAACTGTCAGTCTTGCTACTCTTGCTACAGTATTCTGAGTGTGCATACAAAATTTCTAGCGATTCAAGAATTCATTTGAGTGTCATTCTACAGTTTGAACATTCAAAAACGCGACGGTATTTTGCATACACATTGATGTTTTTGTTTGCGCGTTCATGTATGTGCGTACATATTTTCAGACATTCACCTCCGTGTGTAACCAACTTTATGTATATGCAAAATACCGTCGCGTTTTTGAATGTGCAAGCGGTGGAAATTGTGTATGCACACTTAGGCGGTTACATACGGACGTGGATGTCTGAAAACATGTACGCACATACAGGAACGCGCAAACAAAAACATCAATGTGTATGCAATATACCATCGCGTGTTTGAATGTGCAAGAGGTAGAATGACGCTCAGGTGAATTCTGGAATCGCTAGAAATTTTGTATGCCTTAACCGTAAATAGACAGTATACCTAATCTATTCTTATTTTTAGTTATAATATCTCCTGCATTTCTAACGGTTGTTTGGTACAGCCTCTAGAGGCGGTTACACACGGGCGTGTATGGCTTGACATATACGTGCATACATCAACATGCAACACACGGACGTGGATGTCTGAAAACATGTACGCATATACATGAACGCGCAAACAAAAACATCAATGTGTATGCAAAATACCGTCGCGTTTTTGAATGTGCAAGCGGTAGAATGGGGCTCAGGTGAATTCTGGAATCGGCAGAAATTTTGTATGCACACTCGGAACACTGTAGCAAAAGTAGCAAGAATACAGTTTTGTGCGAACGTTTGTATAAAGGCGACATGCACGTTGTTGTTTGCACGTTGATGTATGCACATATAATGTATCAAGCCATCCACGCCCGTGTGTAACCGCCTTATAGTATAATAATTAATAATAAAATTATCAATAATTTTGAAAAAAGTAGAAATATTAATGGAAAATGCGTTTCAGGTGTCATAAATGCATATTGGATGTTCACATATTGAATACCCTGTATCTCAAAAACTAGTCATAGGATCAAGTTGTGCCCATGGTAGTTATAAATCAGAAAGGTCGGATCTATAACATACTATAATTTGGTTGAATTTGACCGTGGTCAAAAATCCCATAAAAAGTGTGCCTTTGATGCAAAATTATTTCTATTATAAAACTCAGCTCACTACGGCTAGTCTGATCGGAATCATTCAGTGACAGTCCACATTTTGAACAAAATTCCCTATAATTGCACCACCAAGTCACTTCGTATTAAGCTCGTTGATTGACCAGAAATGTGTCCATGATATATTAAATGGCAGATATCGGTGCATTCAGTCTCAAGTTTTTTTCCCTAACGTATTAAAAATAGTTGCTACCTATTGCCTAACCTATTCATTATAAGCCCCAGCGGACAACTGTTAAGAGAGCATGAATGTATTCATAAACCTATTTGAATTATAATTAATTAACACACGAAAAAAAGTCTAGAATTCTATAAAAAATCTTAAAATTTACGATTATCCTAAGAAAATGTTAAATCTGATAAAAATGCGCATTTGAAAGGCTTGAGAAGGTAAGAGACTTCTGATACTTTCATAGTTTATTGCTGTTGGCTTATTAAAGCCATATTAAATTTACTTACTCAAAAAATTCTTCAACCGGAGAAGATCTTTTAGTAATATTTGATATTGAAATGTTAGATCCACTGGTATAGCAATTTTTTGTATTCCACCAATTATCTAAAAAATCAAGGTCAATAATTATAATTTTATTGTTATAAGTATTGAAATTACTTACCACATCCTTGCCAAGGTAATTCCGGTAAGGCCGAAAACGTACTTATAATATAAAATAATGTCCATGCTATAATAATACAATAATATACGTCCAAAAGGAAAACTATAGTCATAGTTGCAAAGCCAACTCCTTTTAAAATAGGGCATAAATTGCCTACAAAAGTCATGCCTCCAGAACCTAAATACTGGCCAATAGCAACTTCTTGGAAGAATAATGGAATTCCGCATACTATCATGGCTATTGAGTATGTTATTAAAAATGCACCTAAAAGAATTGTATTTACTTATAATGAATTGTAAGGTGAATATGGTTTTCATTTTACCTCCTCCGTTTTTATAGCATAAATAAGGAAACCTCCATACATTTCCCAGCCCCACGGACAAACTAATGCAGGACATTAAAAAATCCAATTGGTTTCCCCATCCGCCTCTATCTTCTGCCTCAACAGGTATCCGATTTGTAACAGATTTATCCGCTACCGCGTTTTTGTCCTTAATAAACTCTTTCTCCTCGTTCGGATCGGTTCTTTGCTGGTCCTTACCGATCTCATCTTCGTCGACCCAAAACAACTTTCCGGACATTTTATCTGAAAAAGGTAGATAATACATTTTTTAATACGTAGGTAACTGTCAAATCCGATGATATAGTCATTGGTCAATACCAGGTGAATATGCCAAGATCAGGTAAATTGGTCAAAATCGGGAATTTCTTTAAATTTCAGTACATTATATAGATTACAAATGTATAGATATTAAGTGTATTTAGAAGTATATAATTGTTGAACTTATTCTACATTTGTCTTATGTCAAATAAACCCAATATTTAGAAAAGTTCATTTGACACAGGTCTCAATCTTTAACTTGATTAAAATGCATCACAAGAGTCTGATCTGATTGGATTTTGAATGTTTTTTTAAAAACTCGCGATGCTGCAAGGGCATCGTGAAATAATTGGAATATACAGTATATTCTATTGAGCTGTAACAAAATTGGATTTTTTTTTCAAATATTGTGTTTGGAAACAAACGTTGCGGTGGAATCAGTGGCGGCTCGTCGTATAAAGCAACTGAGGCCGGGCCTCACATGTAAAAATTACAATAAAGATGTAAAATTTTGAAATAATAATTATTAAATATTTAACGTTTTTCAACTATTTTCAATCATTAAAAGTATCAAAACATCGAATTTTCATTAAAGTATAATACTATTTCTTGAATTTAGCGCGCGCTTTTACCTATTTATCCTTATAGGCGCTCAAGTCGTTGCCGGACAGCATAAAAATGAAATAGCAATCCCAAAAATTTTGGCCTCATGTGCGTAAAAGAACGCCGAAGCGATGCCATGGCACTCCCCACCACAACCCTTCAACTGTAGGTGAGACGATAGCGAATTTTTATAGGCATTGAGGCGCACAATTTTGGGCTTGTTAATAAGAAAACTTGCATTTCTTGCTGTTGTGACAAGTAGCAAATGCCAGTGCGTGATTTAATTGGCTCATACTTTTTATTTTCGTCTGTTGCGGGTTAAAAAACTGTTTTTTGGAATTTATTTTGTTAATTTGAAACTCAATATTTGTATTAAAATAATAATTATGTATGTACCTACTGCTGTTGTTTTGCAACTGTAAGAAATGAAAAATTTTATTAGAAATATACAAAAAAAAATATTGGGCGTAACACTTGAAAATTTTGTTTGGGTTTGTTTGGGTTAACTCGATGGACCATGGGCCTCACCAGTTTGGATTGTCACGAGCCGCCACTGGGTGGAATTACAATTTTCTCTCAAGAAATTCGCATGATACCTATATTTTTATAATTTCTTCAAAAGTGAGAACCAATAATTAATTAATATTAGGCGATAATAATTTCAAGAGATCACCACGATTAATTTTTAAATTAACAAGTAAATTTTGATATTGTTACGGAATTGTCTCGCTCGAGGTAATTGCAACATATAACTTACAATTATCCCTTATTGCAAGTTATAAGTTGCAATTAGTATAATTGAAAGGTATAAGTTGCAATTAGTAGGTATAATAGAACCCACGTTGATCCATCTTTCAAATATATTTCCGCATGAGCATGTCATCACTCTCCCTCTCCCTTCCATCTTCTCATTATGATGATTCACCAACACTTCCAAATTTTGGAATCATTCTTCGTGTATCTTCTGAATCGATCCAAATTCTAAAACTAATAACTTTCTCCTCTTTGCTGTTATAGTAGAGCTGTTTTCTTAAAGATCGTGGTTCTTATGTAGAGTAGTGCAACTCTAAACTGAACAATTCTAGAGATTGCTCCATATTTTACGAAAAGTCGGAATATCTCAAGGATATAAGATTTGCTAAGAGCTGAGGTGATGCATCATGAAGCATTAACCATTCATCTGTAACTGAACGTTGGTGCTTTTCACGTTCCTGCTAGTGTAAAGTAAGCAGGCACGAAAAATCAAAATATGTTTGGAAGTACAAGGGTTATTGTTGAAACCGGGGGTAGTGCAATATGAAGAACTTACGATGCACTAACCATTTGTCTACCACTGACCGTTAGTGCTTCCAATGTTCCTGCTGGGTGTGAGGTGAGCAAGCGATTCCTAAAAACCAAAATAAGTATCTCTGAAAATATAAGGGTTGCTAATTTGAGGATTGAAGCACGTTGAATCACTAACTGAGCACTAAACGATTACGTGAAATTTAACCTTTGTGCTTCAAGTATGCCTGCCTACTTCACAGAGCCTTCCTTTAGTCCTTTATGTAAAATGGTGACAAATTTAAAGGATCCCTAATAACACAAGACATTCCTGGATATCCTACCAATGTAGGTACTATAAAGGTTTGAATGACACCGTAGGTCAGAAAATAGTCACTGGAGAGGCTTTCGCCCTTTTTACTCTGTGCTGCAGAGGAAAGAAAACGCGATTCCAGTTAGGCGAATATTTTTCCCTATTCGTTTTCGCCTGTCTCAAACAGGGTAGGCTTTTTTGTTCTACCGTTGATGAAAGTTTACCTATGCTCTCGATACAATGAAAACGATTGATTTGCTATAGACCTATTCAGTTACACCTGAGTGCAGTTAGTTGCGTGCGCAACGGGGAATTTTTTTTTATTGGCTGTATAACGCAGGTGAGAAATTGAAGGATATGAAATGATTGAAATGACAGTAATGGCATTCTATAACACATCAAAAAGCTGTTGATTTGGTTCTGTGTGGTGTTTTGTTTCGTTGTTTTTGTCTGTTGATGTTTCAGTTTTATGCTTTAATATTATTTTTAATAGACGTACGATCTAGTTGCAATAATTCCCCAGTTTTATTCAATACGGGGGTGTTTGTTTCTTGGAGAATAATGTATTTTTCATCATCCTATATCATTGTTTTTGTATTGTTAATAAATAACTCCTACATATTGCAAGTGTGCAAATGTACTAATAGTTATTTGTGTACATTTCAAATGTCTATAGTTGGTTGAAAATGTATTTACTATTCACTACTGATGAGAATTCTAAATGCAGCCTATGTGTGCTTTCATTCTTCTTTTGGCTTCTATAGCATTTTGCTTGATGGTGCACTCATTCCATAACGCTATCAAAACACAAAAAAAGCTAGAAGCTTGAAAAAAATATAAAAATAAATAAATAATCAACCTAACCTAGTCAGTCACTGTACTGGGGCAAGTTCAGTTAGGTACTAGGTTCGATTCGTCGTCGGTTGATCCGCGCCTCTTTATCTAGGCATGTAAATAACAAAGATGGAAAGATCGCCCGACTAAGTCCGGGCGAATCATCTATCCGAACCCGCCCCAATGTATACAAGACAAGGAACAAAATGTCTTTCAAATGTCTCTCTCGCACTAATGTTGCGCCCCTTTTGAATATGTCCCCGTGCGCATGAAACATAGATGGTTTCTCTGTCTAGCAGGCTCAAATTCCTATTTGTATCTTTGTTCAACACAAACTAAATAGGTCTATGTTGCGCATTTTTATGCAAATATCTTCAGAATTTTATGACTTTTTTAACGGCATTTTATGGGGCACAGAAATGCGCAACTTTGCCTAACTTCAACTTTTTTATAATTCCAGAAGCTCACAAGATACTCATACAGCATACAGGTCAGTGTATATTTACCCTTTCTAAAAATCTTTGTTATCCATTGCATTTACTGTCAGTGGCGGCTCGTGACAAACATGTCCGGGGGGCTCAGAATTTAAAGAAAGTTGCAATTAGTATAATTGCAAGTTATAAGTTGCAACTATAATTTTTTTCGTAGCATTTCTGTTCAGCGCTTTTGTAGAATCCTATTGTACGAGAAACACTATATTTGGTACACAGGGGTTTTATGACACTTTTTGATGAGCCCCCTATCTTTGAAGCCTCAAATCTCCGGTTGCGTATTTGAATTTTTCAAAAAATATTATTCGGTTAGAAGGCCCATTTAATATAGAAATGTTTTCGTCTCCTGAAAGTTTTTTTTTTCGTTAAAAAAACATTGTTTTACATGCATACCGAGATTCCTATGAAATTGTACCTGTTAATCGTAGGTGGTCACTTTATTTTTTGCCAGTAGTTATCATTGATCAGTTGTCAGATTACTAACTTTCCTGTTTTTCTCGAAAATTGGTTAAGAAATTATTTTATAATAGGTTGAAATTTGTTTGATTATTGCGAACTCCAGCAACCTACGATTAACGAGTAGAATATCATGCGAATCTCGATATGCATTCGATCACATTTTGCCATTTTCCGCGAAAATAATGTGTTTAAGGAAAAAATTTCAGGAGACAGAAAGATTTCTAAATTGAATGGGCTCTCTTACTGATTAACATCTAAAAATTCAAATACGCAACTAAAGTTTTGAGGCTCCAAAGACAGGGGAGCCCACGAAAAAGTGTCTTAAGGGGGTCCTCCGCCTAAAAACGTAGCATCATCCAATTATTCCAATTCTTCATGTCATAAAACCCCTGTGTAATAATAATTCTCTGAGTCTGAGAAATAAAAAAAAAACTACTATTCTTAGGCTCAAATTTTAAGGCGGCCATTTACCAAAAATAAAAAATACAGTGGCCCTATTTTTTTTTTGAGAATCTTTAAACAAATTTTGTTGTGTTTATTTATCTTCAGACACCCTGTATAAATAGAGCGATGTTATTGAGTTCGAGTCAAATAGGAGTGTTGTTGACGGTCAGTTTAAAAATGTGTATTGTTGTCGGTCAGTCACAATACGAGATTTGTTGCGTACGGTTCAAATAAACCGATAAATAATAAGTGAATTTTTATAATGTCAATTTGTTCAATAAAGGTTTTTATTGTCTGTGAAATGAGTTTTATTGGATCCGAATTCCGTGACAATATTAATCAAAGAATAACTTTTTAATCGTCGTTCAACCAAACGGTGCAAACCACTACTAAGTTTTTTAAAGCTGAGAAAAAAAAAATAGTTCTCACATTATTCGCATATCAACAGTAAAAATATTATTTTGCTATACGATCATCTCATTTCTAATATGACAGAAAAAATTAATTAAAATTTTATTTTGACAAGAAGCTTCATCCTAAAATAAAATTCTAGACTCCATCAAATTATGTCAAAAGTCT